CTGTAAGAATGGGGTATTTATAAACAACTTCTGCATATCTCTGTATGTTCATTTCTGACCGCAGTGTGGGAAGGGGTAGATGAAATTGACTCCTAGCATATAAGTTGTTTGAAAACAGAAAGGGATTCAGGTCTTCATGTAGGATCACTTCAGGCTGGTTTGTGGGATCATGACATGGCAATACTGCATTGCCTGGAAAAATCCTCATGTATTTTTGCCTCGTGTTCTGAAATCTCGTCAGTTTTCAAAATCTGTCCTATAACAAACTGGACATTTCAGCCTGGAGCTCTCAGAAATAGTGTCCTTTCTAAGTAAGGTTACTATATTGAGTTTCTTTAATGAAAACTATTTTAAACTCGATCCCTCCTTTCCGTAATTACTTCATATGCTTTGCAACCTAATTTTTAAAATGGATTTTACTGTGAAATATGTGCCGGTACATTTTTCCTCTTCCTCCTGTAAAGCTGGGTATAAATCACATCACTGCGGATGTTGGGGGCACATTGAACACATTTTTCCACCACAAGAATTAAACCACTTCAATCATTCACAGCAAGCAGTACAGCAGATGTATTGACCAGAGAGTAGATGTCCTACAGTTCAGTGGGTCTCCTTGGCTTATGGGGCTACAATCCTCAAGGCATTTACTTGAGAAATTGCCTTCTTGACCAGAATGAGACTTCCCTAAAAGCAAGTAGAGGGTGATGCCATGCCATCGTCAAGGTTCCTCACTTGCTGTGTGTCCGTGTCTTTACATCTTTCTGCTATTATTTTCTGAGAAGGTTCTGATTCTAAAACAGAATGCAATTGTGTCTAGGAACACGCTCTGAGAAAAGAGACGGGAAGTATTTTCTGTATGGGCAGCAGATATCTAATCCTAATACATTCAAAGAAATTAACTAATTCTTTCATTCACTCTCCCTCACTTTCTTTCTTTCCTTATTTACACTGACCACTTGAACTGTTGTAAACAGATCTGTGGGGTGGTCTTTCCCCAGAGATAGAAGCTTCCTTATGCATTTTTAAGTTAATTAACTCAGTTGAATTGACACGTGCTATCAATCCGCACCTCCCTATCTTAGCAAGATCAGCCCCTTTAAATGAGATACTGCTAAGCAATTTATGAAATGAAAAGCTGTTTAAGACAAGGTAGATAAATGAAGAGGCCAGGAAGGGCCTGGAATGAACCTGCTGTTTAAGAAATGTATTCTCAATCCCAACCCCCCATAATTTCCTTTTGAAAGAAAAGAAAAAAAGGTTTCTAAGCAAAAGACTGGATTCATTCTGTTTTGCCTTATTTATTTTTCAGTTTCATCAATCCAAATTTAAAGCGAATGTTAATTTCCCGGAGCATGAAATGTGCAAGTTTTGTGATTTTTCTTCAGTGCTGTTTCCTCCCCACCCACCCCAGTTTTCCTCTCAGATGTGCCACAATAAATCGAATTGTAAAATCCAGCTTTTAATTAACTCTATATTTCATTGGAATAGGAATTGCAAATGGTTTTACATAAAACTGGGAAAGATCAGGGTTGTCTTGTTATTTACTACTTTTGTCCTCTTTCTTCAGAAAGTACACCTTTTCAGACAGGAAACAAAGAAACCTTTCCTCCTTGGAGAACTGAAGGCATTTGCTCGGCAAAAATTCAAAATAAGCCTGTTGTCTGAGGTCCTAGGCATAACGCTCGGGCGTCTCTTCTAGACTCACTGTCAACTTCTACGTTTTCAAATCGGCTTTCCTCAAGTCATTAGGAAAGCATAACCCCTTCAATAGGAAAAGGCTCCCCTGGAAGGAAAAACAAATCCTCCAGAGTATGAGTATGATGCCTTTGTTAGGAGCCACTGCTGTTTCCCATCACCAAAACAAGATTCCAAAAATCCTATTACGGGGACCTGCTTTGCCATCCTTTCCATCTTTTTCTTTTTTAATAGGCAGTTGCCTCTGTTCACCCCAGAACTTCTTGTATCTCCTCCATCGTTCAGTGGAATGAACTTTTATCATCTCACGGAATCCTCTTGGGCTCTCTTGGTGTTTCAAAACATGGCTTTCTATGTTGGGAGCTCTCTTCTATACTGGCGCAAAAATAGAAATAAAATACCATATGCGCGTACATTTGTTTGTTTGAGCTGATCAGATCCTTTCCTAGCACTGGTCTGTTGCGTTAAACCCAGGGGTTTCCCAGCGCCTTAGACGGTACATGTGAAGTTCATTCCTTTCTGGCTAGACCCTAATTGGGAGCCGGTTTGTCTATTTTGCCTTGACCTTGGACTTCGGCCGATTTCCTTGCCGTGTTTGAAAAAGTGAGAGTCAAGATGGTTTTAGAAACAGCCCCCCTCCCGCCGCTGGAAGGCATTAGGTTTCCAGGAGGAAAGCGAGCGACTATTAAAGACTTTAGTTCTTGAAAGCCGTTTTCTGGGTTGAGTTTCTTTGTTGGAGATCTTGAGTGAATTCCGTTGTTTTCTGCTTGGGCCGTAGCATTTTAGGGATGGAGCGAGCTAATGAACGCAAAGATTGAAAATGCTACAGAGAACGGGACAGTAACCACTGGGGGGGGGGCGTTGTTTATTTAGGTTTTTACTTATTCATTCCTCACTTTTCCTTGAGGACTCCAGTGTGGTCGGAAGATCCCGGCGTAATGGGAGGCCATTCCGTCGCCCTTCCTGGGAGTAAGTAAGTCTTTCTTGCACACACATACCCGAGGTGAGTGGTGCGCGTGGATTGAGTTGGCCCCTTGTTATCCTTCCCAGAGAAGGTTGCCCGCTGAGTTGGGAAGTGATGGAGAGAAACTGGATGAGGTAGGATTTCAATGATTTAAGTGGCAACTCAGAGACCAATCCTTCCCATTCATGCATGCATGAAAGTCAAACTCTACCCGAAAGTAGCGGGGCAAGCTTCTCAGTAAACAAACTCTCCTATAGATTCTATACGACTAAGATACAGCTATGTGCAAGATGGATATCATGCCTATATTTCCCCTTCCTCATTGCTGAACAATTCATTCTTTCCTCCACCTTACGTCTGGCTGCATTAATTTGTCAAAGTTATTCTTTGTAATGGGGTGCTGGGAAGAACGTACTTGGAAGATCATAATTCTGGAATATCCTCTCTACACTCTCCAGCTAAAATTCAGATTTTTTCTCCTTTCAAATACATCCGTCTACATAAAACAAAAAATGACCAGGAAGAGTATTTTAAAAGTGGGGGACCTAAGTCATTGGGACAGTGAATAAATAAACTACTCTTGCCAACATGTGGAGAGTGTATGTATCAAGGTACTTGTCTGTACCTATATCACAGCCATCAATCTCTGGCAGACTAGCTCCCAATTCTTCTATTTCATCTGTGTAATTATAACTCATCCATCTAGGATCCTGTTCACGTTGTATAAAAGTGAGTTGCATTTATTGTCTTCTCTGCCCGGGCACACATAAATCAACATTGAGACCATTATATCTAACTCACAGAACCCTTCAGCAACAGACATTGTTGCTGCAATATTTACTACTAAAGTATTAAACATTAATAACATAATACTGTATCATAATATAATCACAAACAATCCCTTTAAAACATTCCCAGTTGGCTGAGCACGAAAGATTAAGCATTATTAGGCCGGACTCGTACAAGGAGCAAACCCTATAAAAACCCTGGAACGTTTTGAAGGCATCTATCATATTTCTTGCAATCTAGAGGCGATTTCTCCCTCACTCCCTTCCTTCATCCTCTACAGTACTTGTATTCTTTTATTCCCCAACCACAAGCTGAGAGAAGAACAGAGAAAGCCTTCTGAAACAGACAGACGGACAAAAGATTTCGCAGATGCCCATCAGTCAAAAATGATTTTAAAAAAAAGAAAGAAATCATAACACGGACTGAAAAAAACAGATTCTCTTGCATTGAAAACAAACAAACAAAGAACAAGTGTGGTTTCTGATACTTCCTTCGGTGGAAAACAAAGGTAAGTAGCTCAATGACATTTTTACCGAGCAAATGGATCCTCCATTATATATTTTTAAAAACAAACGGATATAAATCTCTCCATCTCTCCATTCACTCCCGAGACCGAAAGAGACTGAGAGAAAATCAATTTCCTAGGCGATAAACGTCCGTATTCCTTACTTCCCGTAAGATCCAATAGCTGATTCCCAGAAACGGGATGCGGAGGGGGTGGGAGAGGGGAAGCGCACCAAGCGGATTCTTAAGGATTAAAACAAAAACACGACACGCGTACACGATGCTATGACATACAAGCTCAGTAGCCGCAGACCGTCATTCTGGATCTTAATGTTCTTCTGAAATCTGTAAATTTTAATTGGCTTTGTTAGATGTCGAATTTTCTCTTCCGCTGAGAAACTGGTTTCTACCTACCACCTTCCTTTATACAATTCTCAATATTACAAGGACTAGGTTTGCTTCTCCTTTGAGCCTCAGCGTACCTCTGCCCCCCTGGCTGTTCACTGATGTATAAGGGGGCGGGGGGAAAAACCTCCTGATTAACACTATCCAGCGACAATTTTGAATATACTTTTTCCCCTCAAGAAGGAATTTTAAAGAACTTATTCCAATCATGAGTTTTTTCTATTTAACGCTGAGGATTTTTCGGGGCACTGGAATTCTGGCATAGCAAATCCCAGCCTCTTTGTGTCGGCCAAATATTGAGCACTCACCTTCCCCTTATTTATTTCCTCACACTCTTTACAGTCAATGGGTGTCTCCCGTCGCCTTTAAGAATTTCTTTTTCTGTGGCGCAGAGGGAGCCAATGAGAACTCTCCGTTCTCTTCCCAAAGCCAAGAGGGACAAGGCGATAGGGCCAGGGGAGGGTCACGTGGCCGGGCTAACAACAGCGCGAGCTATTTACGGGTCACGTGGCCCGGCGGATTTCTTAATGAACCGGACCCATTCCGCCGCCTCTGCGCATGCTCCTGCGTAAACAATATGTTGGGGAAATTAGGTGTCTCTCTTTGGGAAGTCGAGTTTTAAAAAGCTCGGGCAGACCATGATATGACGACTTCACTGATCTTGCATCCACGCTGGGCGGATACCTTCATGTACGTGTATGAGGAGAACCCGAATGAAAATAATCAGAATAAAATCCCAGCCATGGAAGGGCTCAGTGGGAACTGCCCAGCGAGCCACTGCAGGGATTTAATCACTCACCCGGTATTGGGTCGTCATTCCAGCACCATTGGGACTCACCAGAGTTCTGTCTACACGGATATACCTGCTCCAGATGCCGCCAGGCAGTGCCCCGCGCCACCAGCCTCTTCCAACGCCACCTTGGGCTACGGCTACCCTTTTGGGGGCAGCTACTACGGATGCCGGCTCTCCCACTCCCACAACGTGAACTTACAACAGAAGCCTTGCTCTTATCACCCGGCTGAAAAATACCCCGAGCCCAGCGGCTCCCTCCCCAGCGAAGAACTATCCTCACGGGCCAAAGAATTTGCTTTTTACCCGAGCTTTGCCAGCTCCTACCAGGCGGTCCCTGGCTATTTGGACGTATCAGTGGTTCCAGGTATCAGTGGCCACCCAGAACCGAGACACGACGCGCTGCTTCCCATGGAAGGATACCAACACTGGGCTCTTTCTAATGGCTGGGACGGGCAGGTCTATTGCTCCAAAGAGCAGTCGCAGTCTACCCATCTCTGGAAGTCACCTTTCCCAGGTAGGGCGATCTCTGCGATCGGCTTCTGCTCTCTGCTCCGGCATGATCGCGTGCATATGCTATCCAGTATAACCGCCCAGGTAAAATCGGTTTCTGAGCGCTTGCATGGGCACGTAGGGGAAAAGAGGGAGAAACCAAACAACCGGGTTTGAAATCCAGCTGCGCACCTTGGAGCTCCCAGTATGTTTCACAGCCAGTTTGGCAGTTGCAATGGTGTGTGTGTAGACGTGTGCGCGCGTGTGAATGGGTCCTCCTCCTCCTCCTCTCATCGCTGTTTTTTGGCTTACTTAGCTGGATCTCTATCTTTTGCTTTGATTTATCTAAAAAGGAATTTGAATATTTTAAATTAAATTTCTCAGCCTGACAGCGGTTAGCATTTCTTCGTCCCTCCCTCCCTCCTTTCCGCTCCCTCTCTCCTTCTTGTCTCTTTCTGCCTCCCTGTCTTATAAGAAGGCTGGGCTTTTCGGAAAGGTACAGTAAATCATATTGCAATTACAAAAGTAGCTGTCAAGTGACATGAATCTTACAAATAAACCGAGTGAGAGGAGTGGGGAGAGAAAAAGAAACAGAGCGATGCATTCGCCTCTGGTTAGAAATCTGGAATGAATGGCAGCCTGGGAGTAACCCTGAGAGCGGGAGTGCTCGGGGCTTATCTGATTGCTCACCACTTAGAGAAGAGAGAGTGAGAGCCGGGCGGAACCGGGAGAGATGAAAGACTAAGGAGAGTCTCCTTTGCTCTCGGGGTCCCAACCTTGCAATCAATATGCAGGCCCTTCTTAATCATGTGAATGGATGGGCTTGGAGCGAAGAGATTAAGGATAAAAATAGGTGAAGGGGAGAGGATTCGAATAAACACGGTGCGAAACACACACATTTATCTTGAGAATACGGGAAGAAGGGTATGCCCCACCACGTAGGACCCCGCTTGCCAACAATGCCTGCGCAGAGCGTTGCATGATGGGGGTTTCCCTTCCCGTAGGAAGCAGAATCAGAGCTAAATGAGGTGCGGGGGG